CACTAATAAAATTATAAAGGAATTAAATTATTCTGATTAATCCTAATCATCTCATAAATTGATCCCTGGGTTCAGTGCTAGTGTTTGAGTCCTTGGTGCCTGCAACATGAAATAGAAATTGAGAGATGCCATTCTCCTTCCGGTTTTTTCCATTGCTACATCAGTTTAAAGGGTAGAACAATGCATTGCTAGAGATGACATGATATGCTGAAAATTTGGGAAGGAGTACTGAAGTCAAATGAGTTTGGGCTTAATTTGCTAGCTGGTTTATCAACTCCTGTTAAAATATCATTATATGTCTTGAGAGTTCAAAGTTGCAAATTAAATAAAAACTTGACAAATTGATTATACCAAATGACTCAAATAATTAGCAATAAAAATTATGTAAGTCATGATAATATAGTACAAACTGATGGTTAGCTGCAATGCAAAAGTCAATGTATGTTTGCCAATTACACATATCTCATTTAATCAGTTTTTTCTGTAATAGATATTAAAAGCCTGTAGCAAAAATTAAAAAAACAACAACAACAACACCGTCATTTATTTATTTATTTTTAGAATGGAGTTACCATAGGAATACAAAACGGGTGGATAGATAGTTTGGAAGAAGCTAAAGAATTAATACTTTTATCCAATAATACCTTTTTCCTCTGCTTTCCACAGAGGAAGTAAAAACTTGTGGACCACCTCCAAATATTACAAAGGGAACTATTAGCAGATTTAAGTCATCATCCACATACCAGCATGGTGAAACTGTGAAATATCAATGCCAACCACGTTCTGCCATTTTTGGGACCAACCCAGCCAAGTGTCTTCATGGGCAGTGGGAAGTACCATCATGTCTTGGTAAGCTAGACTGTTCTGGGTAAACCTACAGAAATGAATGTTAGGCCTGTCTTGGAATATATCAGTATTTATTATTACCGTGATTGCTGAGAAGTGTGATTCAGTGGGGAAAAATAACTGGAGCTGATGCAAGGAGATCCAGGTTATCCTGAACTGGTTTATGCCAGCCTGGGCCACGGGCACATTATGTTTCCAGTTTGGCCCCTATTTAAAATGGGAGTCCTCAAAGATAAAGGGGGAAGATACATAGAACACAGTCAGCTACCCCTTTTGAGAAATATGTAGGGCATATGAATGAAAATTGTGAGACACACCTAAGATCCTTTCAAACTGACTAATGCTTTTTATCCCCAGTTTGTAGCTAGCAATATTTATTAAACAGTACCAGTACTAGTTTTACTTATTTCACACTTATGACTAAGCTCAGTATAGAGATGGAACAAACCAATTAATTCAATAATATATTCCAATCAATTATAATGTAAGGAATCTCTAAACTAAAAGGTCCATAACATATAATATTACAAGTAAGTAATAAGTGTATTGTTCTGACTGCAGGTCATAAGAACACATAATAGCATTAATCTCTCTACATTCCAAATGACAAGTCCATATTTATTTTAAGACATTTTCACAGGGCCCATGAAAAAAAAGCATTCTGAGTGCTTTTTAAGTGATCCAATCCCAAGCATAATCTTGGTGGGAATCTATTCCAGTGGAACAGCGTCAGGTGATAAAGGCATGATGTGGTTCTTCTAGTACATGATAGAATGAAATGTCCCTGGTGTGGCTACTGGTTCAAGTTCACAGGTACCTGAGCCAACAGCAGGTCTTTTGAATAATCGGGTAGGCCCATATGTAGGGCATGATATATTGACCCCATCAGTTCACATGGTTATCATTCTCAAATTCCCAACCAGTGTAACAACTGGCAGTAAAAAGAGATAGGGGCAAAATAAGGAAGGTTCAGAATAGTACAAACAACAGCATTCTGGACACAAATCAAAGGGCAGAGTGTTGTCTTAGGTAACCCAGCCAACAAACTGCTGTGATAGTCCAGGGAGTGAACCAAGACCCTGACCGTCTCAGTAGTGAGGAACTGACATATTCTATAGACTTTCATTAAAGGCAAAGAGAGTTTCCATTTTTTCATTGAATGGTTTTAAAGACAGTCTATCATAGATTTGGACTCCTATGTTCCTCACTATTGGGGAGACCTATAACTGGCAGCCTGGAAATTTAGAGTAGAAATAGAAAGGAGAGGGATAAGATTGTCAGGGTGAACACAATCGTCTCTGCCTTATCCATATGCAGTTTAAGTTGAGGAGCACACCAAATCTAAAATCTTACCTAGGAAGTTGGAAAGAGGTATCTACAATGTGTCGTCCAGAGTAGGGACAGATGAATAAACCAGAAATTCATCAGCATGTATGAACTTTGAATATGAAGTCAGATAGCCTAGAGGAAGTATAAGGGATTTATTATATAATAAAGAGAAGAATAATGGGTTTATTATATAAATACTTATATAATAACATTTGAATTGTTAGCTAATCCACGAAAATGTACACGTCCAAAGGAAGCAGTTTTTGAACCAGACGCTCAACTTTCAAAGCAGTTTAAGACCAACACAATTGCAACCTACCGCTGTGGTACCAATCTACATGAAACAAAATGCGTTGATGGATTATGGGTTCCCGAACCACTATGTAAAGG